TGTTTGCTCTTATAATATTTAAATTATTATTTATATATAATTTGTTTTGAGATTTATACAAGGTTATGGAAGTAATCTTCTAAAAAACTAATTTACGCCATTCTTAAATAGAGACTCACTCAGAACTTTAATGCTACTAGCTTTTTTTGCTCACCGGGTAGACTTTTTGCTCACAACACTTTTGGAGTTTAGAGGGAACATTGCAGTGCTCACATTAAAGCAGTTTCCTGTGAGCATTCTCACAAACTAGTTTATTTTTTTCCTCCAGAAGAGCTCAGAGAAAGCGTTAGAAAACATTACAAACTAAACAAAACAAAAACTCACGAGAAGAGAAACTCTTCTCACCAGCCAACAATCCTGGCTTTTCAGAAACTGTGTATGTATTCGGCATAGGGTTGCCAAGTGTAAATGCCTCCCGAGCGGGGGACTCCCGTCCGGTGTCTGGAGGGGGCACACGCACGCAAAGCACGTGTGCGCCGCACGCACACCACCCGGAAGTGACGTGATGATGCTGGGCACGCTGCGGGCGGGGCCACGACCATCCGAGGGAAAACCATAGAGTTTTCCCTCGGATGACCCTGGCCCCGCCCCCAGCGTGCTTGGCGTGGTCGCGTCACTTCCGGGTGACGCGCACGTTGGGGTGGGGTTCCCCCCCCGCGGGGCCCGATCTGCCGGCGGCGGGGAACGGCCCCCCCGGAGGGACTTGGCAAGCCTAATTCTGCACAATAATCTTGAAAATCTGTTTCTAAATGCCAGTGAAAGCAGCACAGTGGAAAAGCAGTTCATGTTTGTGAAATGCAAATATTCCTGCTCTGTATCCGTGTTTGTGAAACTATCACGATGAGGAGGCTGAGTGACCTGCCAGCGCCATGCTCCGCGACTTCCCCCTAGCAAGTGCAAGAGGCTACTCAATGCGCTGTCAGCAACTGTATTAGAGATAATGGAAAGATTTTTTTTGTTATGCAACTGCCTCATTTATCAACCCAAACAGAGGGAAGGGATCATATTCATCTTAGTATCTGATCGTCTCCAATAGAAATGCTTATAATGAATCCGGATTACGAGCGCCAAGCGTCTTTTGTTCTCTTTGAGGTAAAGCCATAGAAACAACTGTGCTCTTTTAAAGCACTGTCTGCCAGCTTTAACCTATTTCCGAACTTCCAAAAATGGATTAGCAGTATACTGGTCAAATGAGAAGCATTTATTTTCTGTCAGTGAATGAAAAGGAATATTTAAAATTAAATATGAATTACCAGTGACTTTCTCTTAGAAGAAAATGGATGAAAATGAAAATACATAGTGTTATATTGTATTTTGGAACTCTCACTTCCCCTCCTGGTTGCTTTGTATACAGTTATTATAGCAGCATATTGCTAAATATGGACATACAAATTATTAGACATTTTTATATGGGGTAGTGAACAAATATACAGCTTGAAAACAAAAGTTTTGTACTATACCGTCTCCATTTTATAACAACTATTTATTCTGTTTCTTCAAGTATCGTCTCAATATGTTGTCAAGCATTGATTCTCCAGCAACAATTTGGAGGATTGATCATTTTGGGTCTTCTCAAAACATAGGCTACGTATTTAATATATTTAGTATGTATTTAATTTTCAATTATCCCAGTTTCTGACATTTACTGTTGGTCTTGGTTATTTTCTTCAGACAATTTAACAAATTTAGAAGGGGCTGGGGAGAGAGGGACCTATGGTGATATATAAACACTGTGAAAGTTGGCAGTGATAATGCAATTAGAGCCCCCTTGCAAACAGCTGTCCAAACACAGCAATTTGGTGACCGAGTGACTGGATCATTGGTTGGTAAAGCTGAAAGAATGCCTTTGCTTACCACTTCAGTTGGCCTGTAGTATTTGAGATTAACTGTCACATGGATCTTCCCAGTTTCTTTGCATCGGCCAATTTCCTTTTCATTCTTGCCTTCCCACCTGTAAAGATGACAAACATTCAATCACTCCAAAATGACTTTACTGCTCTAATGGCAGGAGCATTTGGCCCACTGGCTCTTAAACAAGGTGGGTGTCAATTCTCTCCATGGGACGATGGAACATCAGCCGCTGGGACAAAAGCAGAAGTTTGTCCAGACATTAGGCACAGTGGTTTTTAAAGTCCGCACATTGTGCATGATCCTGTGGTTGAGCTGCGAGAGAAGGGTTTTGCAAGACGGAGGCCACTGTCAGGTGCAGGAAATGTTATCTGCAGTTGACATCTACATCTATATTTCTGTGTGTGTTTGTGCGTATAAAATCCACATATACGTACACAACCTGACAAAGTGTGTTTGTATGTGTACGCAACCTGGGGCATGAACCCTTATGCCACAATGAGATGCCACAAGATTCTGCTTTTCTTGTTGTTACAGATTATCATGGCAATTGCTCTGGAAAGTGCATGTGTGTTTGAGTTAACAAGAATATTAAAGACAACGGAAAATGGAATGAATAAACAATGTACTGCACACACACAGAGAAAACCATAATCTTCAAAATCAGTGATTTACAGTTGGATATATATCACACTTTTTAAGTTTTCTTCAGGATTGTGACTATAACATTTTCATTATAATTTTATATAAAGTCAAGAAGTTTGTCACTTAAAGCTTTTTCAAGCTACTTTTGTTTCCCCCCAGCCCTGACAAGGCCACATTTACAAGGAATCTCCAAGCTGCCTTGTGATCTGCTGAAAAAACAACACTTAAGTAATCACTTGGGAAATCTGAATAAAAGCCAGGCATCTCATTACAGTCTAACTATTTTATATCTATATTGCTGTTAGTCAAAGTAGGATGAAAGAAAAAAAGCTATTTTTAAACAAGCTTTCTGATTTTTAGTACGATCCTTACATTATTATGTAAATACTTCCTAGAAGCCACATGCTGGATTTTGCAAGAGAGGGAAAATTTGACTCTGTGTTGTAGACTAGCATATGTTCCATTCACGCAATCACTCTTGCTTATAGCCTGTCCTTTTAAAAAATACTGAAATGGAACAAAGGAGGTGAGTAGACCTCATGTTCATGGGGCGAGTTACAACCAGAATGAGCAAATGGTGTGCATATGTTTCCACAAGGCTGAACCCCCCCCCCCTCCAAGGCTTAAACACGGAGGCCCTATGCAAATTTTGTCTTATGGAGCACTTTTTTGGAACTTCAAACATTCTCACCCTCAACCATATGCCACGCAGGTCCATAGCTAGGTCACTGTTAAGGAGAATGGCGGTTGATTCTGTTTGCTTGCAGAATATGTAGCTTGTTTAAAAACAATTTATTTATAGGGTATGTTAAATAACATGTTGAAGTATTTTCTATATTAAATATTCCCATAATTCATAGACCTTGACGTAGCACCCATCCCCTTCCCTCCCTCAGAGGCAAAATTTCCCCTCCGTTTTTCTTTCCCTTTGTGACTGAGCTGCCCTAGTTAATGTTTTCTTCTTTCTTGAAGAACTCTGGCTGTCCCATCCTGTCACAATATGATATTTTGCTGCTGGCTTAGCCCAGGAACCTCAGGGAAGAATCAAGAGCCCCCTTCATCTGAAGTTTTGAGGCATTTTGAAATCCCAAATTATCAAAATATTTTATTCAACATAGAGGGGAAAGGTCAGGTGAAACCAGGGGTAAAATTTCTGAGGTAACTCAATATAGAACTCTGATGCAAATCAGCACATGGACAGACTTTAGTTCATATGTTTCGGGCTATTGAGAGTTTCATCAGCTTTTCACAGTGACTTAGGATCTTTAAGATGAGAGGCTCCAGTACACTCCAGTACACTTTCTTTAAGCATTCACTGACTCTTTTGGTTTCCAGAAGGCTGGGACAAATCCCTTCTCTAAACACACCAGTCCAGTACTCTTCTTGAGTTTTATCTGATTCTTAAGGCAGTTTCTATTTTTCCCTCTCTCCTCTTCTCCGCAGTTTCCAAAAGCAGATTGAGCAAAGCTAGGGGAAGGTGGAGCGGGATTTCCACCCTTCTCCCCCTTCTTTGCCGGTTGCAATTTTGTTTTAAAAAATGGGAGGGAATGTCTCTGCACTTACTCTATGGGAGAAGAGCACATTGGCAAGACGCGGCTGCTTTCTTCTCGCACATAGCTGGGAGGGGGTGAATGTGGCCAGTGTTCCCTCTAAGCTGAGTTAGTGTGAGCTAGCTCACAGTTTTTTAGCCTCCGGCTCACACATTTTTGTCTTAGCTCGGGAAGGAGGGCTCCAAAGCAAACTGATTTATGCCACAGCCAAATCGCTCACTCACAACTTTAATGCCAGTAGCTCACAAAGCAGAATTTTTGCTCACAAGATTCCACAGCTTAGAGGGAACATTGATGTGGCCATGGTGGGAGGGGACAGGCAGGGCTTTTTTTTGGGGGGGGATGCACCAGAATGGAGTTCCGGAACCTCTTTGACAAAATTATTTTAAAAATGTTTAAAAGTTCCTGAGTTTTCAGTGTACAAATTGAAAACTTCATTTCCCTCTTGAGTTTCTGGCACTTTTTTTTTTTAAAGCCCTGGGGACAGAACCCTCCAGAATGATCATGTCCAATGCTCCCTCTAAGCTGCGGAGTCTTGTGAGCAAAAATTCTACTCCGTGAGCTACTGGCATTAAAGTGGTGAGCGAGCGATTTGGCCGCTGCATCAGTTCGTTTGCTCTGGAGCCATCCTTCCTGAGCTAAGACAAAAATGTGTGAGCCGGAGGCTAAAAAACTGTGAGCTAGCTCACACTAACTCAGCTTAGAGGGAACACTGCACCCAAGTCATCTCTCCATTCTACAGGTTGGCCAGGGCTTTAATCAGGAGTGGCATTTTTTTCAGCTCAGTTGGCAGGCATGCAGGGTCCAATTCAGACTGAGCCCACGGCACAAGGCAAGAAAGAGTTTAAGACTTCCCCTGATACTGTAGATGCGTTCAGGCGGGGAAAATGGTGTGAGGGAAAGTTTTAAACCTTCCCTTCACTTGTGCTGTGGCCCCAACAGGAATTGGGCTACCACATTGTCAGGACCCTCAGCAACAACTGAAATACACACTTTACAAGAAGGTTTTACTTTACAGACTGAGCCCACGGCACAAGGCAAGAAAGGGTTTAAGACTTCCCCTGATACCGTAGATGCGTTCAGGCGGGGAAATGTTAGGAATGAGGTGTGAACTAGGCGCAAAACAGTTATAGTACATTCATATGAGCATTATCCAATTACTATGGTTCCCCCGCGCGCCATTCGGCTTGGGAACTAACTGCTACCCAAAGCAAAACAAGTAAGAGCTTCCCACGGCTCTACCTGCCTAACGCCAAAGCAATGATCTAAGCGACTCCTCCAGCGGCCTTGAGAGATACGCAGTGCAGTCTGCAAGAGAACGGTAATTAGTTACAGGGAAAGGTATGCGCATCTGTGCATAGGAAGGTATGCGCATGTGCACAGAGAAATAGAACATTTTGGCAGCTTGCTGACACACATGTGTGATAAGGGAGTTTAAAAAAATCACTAGGAGCTCCAGGAAGAGAAAATGGGAGAGATAAAACCACATACAAGAAAAGAGGGGGGAAAGGGAAAAGCGGAAGTACACAGCGCCCGTAGCATGTTCTCAATCCTTTAAACTGATTGAGGACATTATGTCCGAAACTACTCGGAGCATCATTTTATTCCTTGGTGGCTGTTTTAACGGTTTTGTGAGAAAAGAGCAGAAAAAAACCTCTGTGTAACCTAACAGCTGTAGAACTGCACATCCAAGTTACCTTTTGATCGACCTGGAAATATCCCTTATGCTCCGAGGTCTTTGGTACCTCACAGTGAACCTTGTGATAACTCTACGGCCCTCATGATGATCAGAACAACGCTGGAAACAGCCAGCTGGAGGCTGTAACTCAAACGCAAGAGGAACAAAGGAAGTGTGGCCAGTCCTGCCCAGAAAAAAGTCTCCCTGAACAGGCACAGACGTCTTTTGTTTTCAGTAACCCAAGCAGAAGTAATTGTTAGCCAGTTTTAGTTACTTGGGTGTAATAATGGAGACTCCTTTCAAGGATTTTACGGAGAAGCATACTGAGGATAATTTGTTCTGCAGCTATTTTCATACAAAACAAGAGTACACTCAGTTAACTATCCTGAAAAGATCTAAATTGCTTGCGGGGTGGGGGTGAGGTGGAAGCCACGCTGAAGGTTTGTCGACTCTTCCTCTCCGAGTGTGTTGACAGAACAGAAGGATCCTCTCTGCATGAGTCCTGATCTAAGGCAGAGATAATACAAACTCAGATTACTCAAAAAGCAGGGTAAAAGCCCCACTGGATAAAACAGAAAGTTTATGGGAAGCCTACGATATGCCTGTCTAAAACAGAGGGGAAATCATGGCCGTTGTCAGCATCAACAGTTAAATGAAACGAAGCAGGTTTAAAGCGAGATGAATGCAACAATACACGCCAAATGACATTTAGGTCCAAAAACATTTGCTCCAGATTGGTCTCATAAATTCCTATGGGACAGCCTCTAAGTGAGTGGCTTGAACATAATGGTTTGAGGTTGTTCTTTTCAAGCCATCACCTAGGTTTGCAAAGTATTTCCAGATAGGAGTTCTATGTGCTGTGCCTGCTGCCCTAGAAAAAATACAGATGATCGCAAGGGCATAGCATTCTTAGAAGTCGATTTCACAGCTGCTGTTTCATAAGACTCCTTTGGAGTTCTCCTTCACAGTGGGGGGAAGTCATCCAGGAGCTCGCTCGGATAGGCTATGCAAACGTCTTTATTGTTGTTGTACCTAGGCTGACCTCTCCGTTTCTGCATAGCCCTGCACTCGGTAGGACGTCTGGAGCTCCTGCTCCAAGCCAGAGGAACGAATTTAAAACTTACAATTTAATTTAAAACTCACAAGAGTTAAAAGTTAGATAGCAGTAGAGCGGGGAGGTCTACGTCTGAAGACCTACCCTTCCCTCCCAGGCTTCAAGGAAGC